TTCCTTCATAGGCTTTAAAAATTATCATTGGCCTTGACTGAGCGACTTGACTCCTCTGCCTTGTCTTCAAGCCCTGAGATTGTGACTTCCACATGATGGGTTCTCTTGAGAAGGCTTTCCACTGCACTTTGTATTTGATCTTCTTGGATAATGTTCATTGCCATCCTCATTCAGTCCCTCTTCACTATTTTGATTTCCTTAGTAATTCTCTTTTCATACCCTGTTTGAACCTCCTTTCTTCATCTTGCTCTGCGTTCTCCTGGCTTATATCCTTGTCCTCTTCAAGCTAAACATGTTGATGTAGAGTTTCTTCAAGGTCATTTTGACTGGGGGCCATCATTATGGAACCAGCAACTTTTGGAAGAAGCAAGTTGTCTTGTTTTATTTCACAGTCCTTGTGGTTTTTGTGCTGGGGACATCCCATCTGGGGTTAGATCATTAAGATGGTTTCTGTTGTTTTAAAATCCAGTCTTTCTGCTCTTAGTGGGATGCTTGCAGATCCAGGAGGGACTTGGTTCCAATAGTTTGCTTTCCTGTGTTAGCCTATTCTTTGGGGCCTCAGGCTGTGTCTCTAGATTTCATCTGTGAGTTAAACCCAGGCATCTGCAAGGACAGCCACTCACAGGGTGAACCTTCTTCCCCTCAGCTTCATCCTCCTGCCCCTCACCTTCCTTCCTAAATCTGTCCACCATGGTTTGGCTTTAGCTCCAAACACTTTTGAGCTCATATGTTTCCTCTGGGCCAAGAATTGCTTTATGGGCCTTCAGGCAAGATGAATGTAGACTCCTGGAAGATTAGAGGGACTCAGATATATGGTTTTTCTAGGGAGACAAAGTGTCAAAACCTGGGTGACTTGGTACTGCAGGAATCTACTGTTAGGGTTCTAGAAGTTAGAAACCAAAGGGTTGGCCAAGCTGCTCCCTCTGAAGTCCCTGGTCAGCAAGCCTTCAGTGTCTCTGAGCCTCACTGACTTAAAGAGCTCCTATTCCATGCTGTGTCTCTTCATCCCACCCCACCCTCTCTTCTATGTCTGTGGCTACCCACATTTCCTTCTTAAAATATAGGATGCCATCACCTTAGCTTACAATGGAAGTTAATGGCCTCCTTGTAACTTGATTACCTCTATAAAGCCCCATTTTCCAAAATATTCTGTTTACCAGGTATGTGTTGATCATTAAGTCAACATATAGATTTTCTAGATATGTGTTAGCTTTGTAACCTAATTCATATGTCAAGTGATGAGAATATAGATAATTTTAATGGCCATGGAGTAATGTTGCTGGGAAGGGAAGATATTTATTTATAGTTAAACTTAAGCCTTTCTTTAATATGAAGAAAATACACTTAGTCAATGAATCTTTAGTCTTCAAGCTATTATTTAACTTTTGCTTCAGTTTTTCTTGCTTAAAAACAAAAAAAACCCACTTCTATAATTTTATTTTTAACAAAGAGCAAACATTGCTAGCAACAAGATTGACTTAGAGTTGATGAAACCTAAATGGGATGTACTCACGGAGCCTCTACAGAGACAGGGTTGTAGTGTTCACCAGTTGGGCCCACCCCCTACTGTAAACAATGCCCATATTCTCAGAGAAATGGCCATCCCCACTTAAGCGTTGGGACTTAGAAAAAACATGAAAATCAATGTGGTAATCATACATCATTTGATGGATGTGGAGACAAGCTTGCAGAAACCCAATTCTTGAATCTCTTACTGTGAGATGGTAAACAGAGATGGACTCTGTTTAATCAAATCCAAGAAGGGAGGTACTGGGGTCTCTGAATGGAGTGATGGACCCTGCTGCCTTCCCAGTTGCACTTGCATTGGGGCAGCTTAGACCTTTAGAAGAGTACTTGGGACTTTGAAATCAAAACATGGGAGACACTGGAGTCTCATTTTTGATAAATCCAGTATTGAGTTTATTCCAATACTCTGGTGGTCACTTGAGACAGGAAATGAGGTTACAGGAAACCCCAATCAGAGGCTCCTCCAGGGCACTGGGGATGACTGAATTGTTAAACTTCTTATCTGGCAAGCATGAGGACATGAGTCTGACTCCCTCCCCACAATCCATATGAAAATTGGGGTGTGGTAATATGTGCTTGTAGCTCCAGAACTGGGGTGTGGGACATAGCTGGATTCCTGGACCTCACTGGTCAGCTCCGCCCACGCCTCCAGCCTACCTGGCAAGCTTTAGACCAGTAAGAGGCTGTTTCAAAAAACAAGTTACAACAAGATGGCTTGACTGAACCTCTTATAAGAGAAAGTGGGAGGTACCATTGAACTAATTGGTACAGGAGACCACTTCCTGAACATAACACCAGTAGCACAGACACTGATACGGACAATTAATAAAGGGGACCTCCTGAAACTGAGAATCTTCTGTAAGGCAAAGGGCACAGTCAAGACAAAACAGCAGCCCACAGAATGGGAAAAGATATTCACCAACCCCACATCTGACAGAGGGCTGATTTCCAAAATATACAAGGAACTCAAGAAGCTAGCCACCAAAACACCAAACAATCCAACTTAATAGTAGGGCACAGAACTAAATAGAGAATTCTCAATAGAGGAACCTAAAATGGCTGGAAGACACATAAGAAATTGTTCAACATCCTTAGCCATCAGGGAAATGCAAATCAAAACAACTCTGAGATACCACCTTACTCCTGTTAGAATGGCTAAAATCAAATATACCAACAACAGTTTATGCTGGAGAGGATGTGGAGAAAGGGGAACACTCCTTCACTGCTGGTGGGAGTGCAAACTCATACAGCCACTTTGGAAATCAGTATGGAGGTTCCTCAGGAAAATGGGAATCAGTCTACCACTAGATCCAGCAATTCCATTCTTAAGCATATACCCAAAAGAAGCACATTCATACAACAAAGACATCTGTTCAACTATATTCATAGCAGCATTATTTGCCAGAACCTGGAATCAACAAGCAACCTAGATGCCCCTCAGCTGAAGAATGGATAAAGAAAATGTGGTACATTTACACAATGGAGTATTACTCATGGTGTGGGGGGGGATGGAATCTTGAAATTCAAGGCAAATGGATAGAACTAGAAGAAACTATCCTGAGTGAGTTAACCCAGTCACAAAAAGACAAACATGGTATGTACTCACTCATATACATATATTAGACATAGAGCAAAGGATTACTAGCCTACAATCCACACCTCCAGAGAAACTAAGAAACAAGGAGGTCCCTAAGAGAAACATACATGGTCCCCCTGGGAAGAGGAAAGGGAGGACAAGATCTCCTGAGCAAACTGGGAGCATGGGGTGAGGGGAGAGGGAGTTGGGAGAAAGAGAAGGGGAGAAGAGGGGGAGAGAGATAGACATGAGAGAGAAGGAAGATTGAGTCGGAAAAAATAGAGGAGAGCAAGAAAAGAGATATCGTGACAGAGGCAGGCATTATAGGGTTAAAGACAAATCTGGCTCTAGGGAAATGTCCAGAGATATAACTAGGATGACCCCAAATAAGAATCTAAACAATAGGGGAGAGTCTATCTTAAATGCCCTTCCTGTATAATGAGATTGATGGCTACCTACCTTATATGACATCATCTAGTAGCTAATGGAAGCATAAGGAGAGATTTAAAGCCAAGCACTGCGCTGAATTCCTGGAATCCAGCTGTAGGGAGAGAGAAGTGATAAGCAAAGGGGTCAAGACCATGCTGAGGAAACCCACAGAAACAGCTGACCTGAACAAGGGGGAGCTCATGGATCCCAGACTGATAGCTAGGAAACCAGCATAGGATGGAACCAGGTCCCCTGAACCTAGGTGTCAGTTTGGAGGCCTGGGCAGTCTATGGGGCCTCTGGTAGTGGATCATTGTTTATCCCAGTGTATGAATGGACAGGAGAGCCCACTGCACATGGAGGGATACTCTTTCAGCCTAGACACATGGGGGAGGGCCTAGGCCCTTCTCCAAATGATGCGACAGACTTTGATGATCCCCCAATGAAGGCCTCACCCTTTCTATGGAGCAGAAGAGGGATGGGATGGAGGTGGGGGGGTGGGGGGAGAGGAAACGGGATTGATATGTAAAATAAGATTGTCCTATGGCCTCCATAGGCATATGGACACATGTGTAGTTGCATACCACTTATACACGTGGACACATACTTACATAGGTGTGAAAAAACACACCCCTTTAAACATCTTGCTTGAATGAGTCACAGGACTAAAGTTTTGGAGCAGAAAATGCTTGGAAGGTCCCTGGAAGTTAATGGTTCTCAACCCTCTCCATCTTCTCACTTCAACAATATAGGAGCGTGTGTGATGAGGGCAGGTCTTAGGGGGCTCTCTCCTGTCCAGTTTCCCTGCTGTGGGATGATTCATGAAAAGTTAGGTTGGTATCATCCCCTCATATACCAAAACTGTTTTCTCATCTTTGGCAAGATGTCTATACTAAATGTCTCTTCCCTCCCCTCTTGGGTGTGGTCACTAATTTATAAACAGAAAAAACAACCCATTTCAAATACTCGATTGAAGCCATAGGTATCACGTCACATGACTAATTTGGTGACATTATTTTCCAAAGTAAACTTCTTAGGATCTTAAAAAGTGTGGGGAAAGTGCTATGTGGGTGGCCTTTTGGATCTCTCTATTTTGTTTTATTTGTGGGTCTTTCCTGCCAGAGCTGATGGATTTAAATAGACAACACGGAATTAAATAGAAGGCAAGCAGATCTCTGTGACCTCAAGGCCAGCAGGGTGTACAAAGTGAATTCAAGGACAGCCAAAGTTACACAGAGAAACCCTGTCTCATAAAAAGAAAAAATAAAAGTAAAATAAATAAATAGCCACGTAAAGATGGAAAATACTCAGAGTCTAGATACTATATGCTATATGGTTGTCTTTAAATTGATTGCTGAGGAAAGAGTTACAGCTGCTAAAATACATTTGATTATAAATACTGCTAAATTAATCCAACTTATACATTTTAAAATGCTTTGACTTCAAAATTTAAGTCCAAGGACAGGCTACTTGGGAAAAGATTTCTTGCTTGTGTTTCTACAGAAAATGAAAAGCTATGGATTCCTTCTAGACTAATATGGTTCGATCAAACAACCCTTGAAGCAGTGGCCTAACTTATCCTACATCCAAAACAGCTGGGATGATGCAGCCATAGACCACTAAAGCCAGGATTTCTGCATTTTCTCAGGATCCTCAGGCGGCAGGCAGAGGCCTGCAGAGTAACAAAAACTTTCTTGGCATAGCCAAGGGTTATCTGGTGCCAAGCAGCTGTGTGCAGGCCCTGTCTACCGTATATGGAAGGGGAGGAGCCTCAGGTTTCCAAAATGGAGGAAGCCCGCTGAAAACCCATGTGGTCTGTCTTTTCTAAATCCCAAGTCACAGAAGTCATGGTGTAGAAATTGCAGTCGGTCCAAATGGTGCTTAGTACCCAAACAGGTTCTTAGGCCCGGCTGAAATGGGCTTGGAGGTGTAAGACAGAGAGCGAGCGCAGAGAAAGAAACTTCTAGGCTGCTGGGCCGCGGCAAGAACTGTGTGGAGGAGCAGGTGGATGGCCGCGTGGGCTCCTCTCAGCCAAATGGTGCCAGAAACACTCTGTGGCTGTTAGTGCCGCTGGTGAAGATGAAAAATTACCTGGGCGTCAATGTGGGTTGTCAGTGTCAGCTCCAACATAATGGACAGTGACTGAATGATAATGATCTCAAACGGAGGTCTCCCATATGCTTATTCTGGGTGACTTCCAGGATGCTTACTTAACTGTGATGTCTCTAGCTCACCAACATCGCTCCAAGCAGCATATCACTGTGCTGCTCTCGGATTCTCATATGGATCTTACACTTCTTTCAGTTAGTTGAATCATCACAACGAAGGCAGATCCCAGAAGGTTTTGTAGACATGCATTCAATGGCAAGCAAGGAAGGAGGTGGGAGATAGGGAGGAGATACAGACAGGAAAAGGAAGGTGAATGGAAGCCCTGATGTTGTTTTGTCCTCTACTGAGAGATGCTTCTTCCAATTAGTCAGAAACCTTTTCCACTCAGCCTTTTGCCACCTTCAGTCACATGGACATCTTTGTACGGAGCTGGCATATTAACAGTGCATAGTATTTTTAAGATGATATTTCTCTCTGTATATCATTCCAATATCCCAAACCCAAATTACTGTGTTCTCATATGAAAGTAAAGCCATGTTGATCCTTCTGTTGTGTGCTACAGATTTAGTTTATAGGTTTAACATTTTCATTGACTTGGTAATACTTTGAACAAATCAAAAGACTATAAAGTGTGCACTGGTTTGGGACCAAAGACTAGTCTCAGATGCATGAGGATGGGAGGGAAAACCCACCCAGGAAATAGGAAGTGAGTTAGATACATCTACCTCCATGGGTGAGAGTTTCAACTTTGCTATTCACAGTTTTGAACAAACCTTGAAGATGTCAGAAACTTGTTCTTCTTCATTGACAAAGTGGATGATATAAATGAGTGCTTGGAAATCTGACTCACGCACAGCCCATCAGCCTCAGCATCACCTGGGAGCTGGGGAGAAAGGAGAACATCACAGGTTGGGGAGCTGGCTCAATGGTAATAAAGGTGCTTGCTTTGCGTGCACAGGGACAGGTGTTCAGATCCCCAGAACCTCACATTAATAGCCAGTGGGAATTGTGGCTTGTTTGTAATCCAAGTTTGGGAGGCCAGAGCATAAACTAGCTAGTGAGGCTGACGATATTGATGAGGTCTGAATGCTGTTGGGAGACCTGGCCTCAATGAATAAGGTGAAAGAGCACCTGAGGATGATTCCTGATATGAACATCACACTCTCACACACCCACACCCTCACTCACACCCACACACACCACACACACTCACACACACACACACACACTCACACACACACACTCACATACATACACATACACTCACACACACACTCACACTCACACTCACACACATACACACTCACACACACTCACATACACACACACTCACTCACACACACACACACACACACACACACACGCTCACACACACACACACACTCTCACACACACACTCACATACATACACATACACTCACACACACACTCACACTCACACTCACACACATACACACTCACACACACTCACATACACACACACTCACTCACACACACACTCACACACACACCACACACATACACACACACACTCACACACACACACTCACTCACACACACACACACACACACATACACACACACGCACACTCACACACACATATAAACACACACACACTCACACACACTCACACACTCCACACACACACATACACACACAACATACAAACACACACACACACACACACACACACACACACACACACACGGGAAAACACCAAACCATGGGCAATCTTAGGCTTCACAGAGTCTGTGGAATCAGAACCTGCGTATCACCAACATAGCAGACAGCTCTCATCTTCTGTGTATCAAGCCTGTGTGGCATCTCGGATCAGTCTTTGAATGATGTGTATACACAGTTTAGTGGCCATCACCTTTAGAGAAGAATGAGGGACAAATGAGCTCACCCCCAAAGAAATAAAAGGTCAGAACTAAGCCCAGAAACTAAACAAACTGCAGAATGAACACGCATGGATGGGTGGGCATCCAGTAACCCTAAACACAGGCACCTTTAATTTTCATTTTTGTAGCATGAACAGAACTGATCAGCATAATTACTGGGGACATTCGCAATGCCAGAAGAACCATTTACATTCATATCCTCATGGTGAAAATGTAAATGCATTCTTTGATTTATGAAGAATTTCATACACAAGTCTTGAAATATATTTTTTCATTATGCAATGAATATTCTTATATGATTGGAAGATTTAAACCCTAATCCTTAAAAAATTTGGTAATCCATGCCTTTCATTATACTCCCTTTTGTACAGAATCAGCAGTGGAGTTGTTTTATCCTGGCTAGACATGATTGAAATGTCACAGAATATTTCAATTCCAGTCCAAAAATAGATAGTATGGTTTCCATTCTTTGTCCTGAGGAGATATCATTGATTCAGGTTGGAAAAAAAATCAGCAAATGTGAGGAGTCTCCCTGTGATTAAATAGTTTTAGTCACAAGTTTAGGAAGACACAACCTTGTCATTTATATCATGTTACTGTCTGACCCTTAAGTGTTAAATATGTTAAGTATGGTTTAGGAGGTATGGAAAAGCAGTAGCAGCAGAAAGGGTTAAACGTAGACTGGTTAACAAATAGGTACCCAAGATCCCATTTGTGATCACTAACCAAGGGACAAACTCTCCAGTTGAGGACTCATGCCCATGTGTGGCTCATGTTCCATCTCTAACCCCGCCCCCAATGAACCAACCGTCAAGTTCATTTCGTCATGAGAGAAAATGTGCCCAGCCCCCAATACTTGGAGTTACCCTCCCGTCATCTGCAGTATTACTAAGCATTCTGAGTGCTTGCTAAGTTTTGAATTCGTGTTTGTGAACTTTGTATACCTGGCTTAGCCTGTCCTGTCTCTCTTCCATGAAGGCTGTGCTCCTCTTCGGTGCTCCCCCTGCTCTGCTCCTCCCCAGTGGTCTAGGAACAAAGTCAGCTGCGGGTACTAGAACACTGACTTAGACCAAAGGATTCAAGTATACCACAGAACAGAGAAGTCAAAGGTGGGCAGCTTGGTCACTGCCTTGTCCCAGTGATGTCCCCAAGGACCCAGGCTCCTTCCAGCCCCATGACCCATATTCTTCCCAGGCTAGGGTCTTCCCTTGTTCCTCCTAAAGTGGTGGTCACAGCTCCGGGCATCTTTTGTAAACAAAGACATATGCTTTCAGAATTTCGTGTGTCTACCCTTCTTCATTAAAAGGCCATGACACTTCTTGGGTGCTGGGGAGGTGGCACATGCATCTGGAAGTCGGTGGACGACTTGCAGAAGTCGGTTCTCTCCTCCCGTCACCTGTGTCCTAGGGATTGCACTGCTGCCGCCAGGCTTGGTGGAGGTGGCGCACTGGCCCCAAGCATGTGGCTCATCCTCGCACTGTAATACTGAGCTGAAAAGACACGGCCAGGTGCCACAAAGGGGGGGCACTTTATTCTCTCTGCTCTAATCAGAGAGGAAAACCTCACACAGAAGCCACCTTCCAGACGTCGAGTTACGCCTCCGAGTCCACAACTGGTTACTGTGACTGTTAGCTGCAAGAAAGGCAGAGAAAGAAAGTATTTGGCTTTTAAAATCCTCATTAGTGGAAGACAGATGAGCAAGAAAGGCTTGGGGAATAGCTGATGCGCGGGTCACTGACAAGATCTGAGGAGCATATGGAGCAATCAAATTGGCCAACTTCAGAGGCTCTCTCTGAGCTGTCTGCTTCGAAGAAGCTCTGCGCCACTCTGTCTAGTTGCAGTGTGCCTGTGAATCCCTCCCAGGCCTCAGTGGAACAGAGTTGATACAGCAGACCAGGGGTGGAGCCTGAGGCCTTGTGTAGCGCACATCTGCACAACAATATCCTACATTTTGCCTACTTTAACAAGTCTGTCAAAGCCTGGTACGGCAGTCATAGGAAATAAATCATTATTTCTTAGGCAATAGTATCATCATTATGTTTTGATAACGAGAAGCATGGCATAAAGTTATTAAAAAGTGTGCTGGCATGAAGAATTTCAGTTATATTGAGAACAAGCAGTTTTGTAAATTACCTTGTGTCCTCATCATTTTATTGGAAGATTCATTTTGATTGGAATAAACCTGCTTCCATGCAGGCTACCAAATGCCATCAAGTTAACCACAGAAAATTTAGATTCTAAAGCCATACTGCTGTGTAGAGCCTTTCGGAGTGATGGGATGTTACACCTGTGTGTCCAGCATGGCAGAATGCGTCACGTGTGGCTGTTGACACTTCTAGCATGACTAACCCAGCAGAGGAGCTCATGACTCAATTTCCTTATATTTTTATTAATTTACTGTGAAGTCTTTCCTGTCATCTGTGCTGGTAACTGCCACATCAGCAGACATATCCAAAGACATGGAAGTGTCTATCTTTTCAAACATTTTACATAATACTTATTCATGAATATAATATATTTTGATCAAATCCACCCCCATTGCTCCCCTCCAATTCCTGATCTTTCCGATTGCTTTTCCTTCCTAATTTGTGTGATCTGTCTGTCTATCTATCTATCTATCTATCTATGTATCTATCTATCTATCTATCTATCTATCTATCTATCTATCTATCTATCTATCTATCGATATTTCATACTCCTGAGTCTATTTAGTACTGCCTGTAGGTACATATATGTGGGATCATCCCCTGCAGCATGGGTTGTCTCTCAGGACCACAACCCTGAAGAACACTGACTTACCCTACCCTAGAAGCCACCAATCGCTGATGGTGTAATTTTATTTTGATCATTGTCACTGTTTGGTTTTGAAGGTCACCACCATCTTCTTATATAAGCAGAGTGTTTAAAATTCCACTTAACATGGAATTAGAAAGAAAAATACATTGTGTTTTCTCTCAGAAGTAGAATCTAGATTTAAATGTCCATGTTCCTGTGCGAGGGTCTGTATTTGTGTGTGTGTGTGTGTGTGTGTGTGTGTGTGTGTGTGTGTGTGTGTGTGTATCTGGAAGTAGAAAGTGGTCTGTGAGAGGAGAGGAATAGGTCTGAAGGGAGGGAAGAAAAAGGGAGAACAAGAGGGCAACAGCCTGTGTCATGGAAACTCAAGAAGGCAGTGTTTTAAAGGAAGAAAAGACACTAAGTGGGAGTGGCTGGAGAAATAATGGAAAGGATGATGCTGAAGTAGTGTCTAAGGAGACAGTATGACTGTGTGTGTGTGTGTGTGTGTGTGTGTGTGTGTGCGTGTGTGTGCGTGTGTGTGCGCGCGTGAACAGTGAAACCCATTTCTGTTTATATCACACTGAATAGTTTAAGTGCCAACCATGACAATCATCTCTGTCTGCTATGCTGTGTGATGTTGTCTCTCTTGTCACCTGACTCTCTTTTCTCCTCCTAGAAATTTTACTCCAAGGTGTGGGCTCTGCTTTCCTATGAAACACAGGAGAAGTCAGGGCTTGAAGTCAAAGGCAAATCTCTATATTTACAGAATAATATTTTCATTGGTTCTTTGAAAAAACCCAAACCCATATAGATCAAGGATCTTAAAATAAGACCTGACCCCCTAAACCTGATAGAGGGCAAAGTAGGGAATAGCTTTGACCTTGTAGGCACAGGAAAGGACCTTACACATAGAATCCTAGTGTGTTAGTCAGGGTTCTCTGAGGAACAGAACTGAGGCAATGAATTTGTATTGTATTTCTTAGAATGGCTTTAAAGGCTATGGTCCAGATAGCCCAGCAATGGCTGTCTACCAATGGAAAAATCTAAGAATCTAGTAGTTGCTTGATCTAGAAGGCTGGAAGTCTCATCTGGTCTTCAGTTTAGGCATAAATCCTGAAGACATGGGCTCTAATACCAATGAAGGAATGGACTTGCTAGTGAGAGTGAGGGCAAGCAGGCAAAGAGCAAAGCTTCTTTCCTCTGTGTCCTTTATACAGGCTGCCAGCAGAAGGTGCAGCCCAGATTAAAGGTCAGCCTTCCCACCTCAGAAGATCCAGATTCAGGGTGGACCTTCCTGCTTCAAATAATTTAATCAAGAAAAATCCCTCAAAGGTCTAACCAGCCTCTTGCATTTTAGTTAATTCCAGATATAGTCAAGTTGACACCAAGACCTGTCACTCCTAGCTAGCCACACAAACATGAAGACCAACAATTAGTACATGGGACTTTATGAAACTAAAAAGCTTCTGCACAGCCAAGGATACCATCATGCAAATCAAGATGCATCCTACAGAATGGGAAAATCTTTACCAGCTAGACGTCTGACAGAGGGTTAGTATCTAGAATATACAGTGATTCAGAAAACTAAACATCCAACAAGACAACTCACTTAAAAACATGGGGAAGGGAACTAATCATCAGAAGATGAAATATAGTTGATAAGACAATTTCTTAAAGGTTCGACACCTTCAGCCATTAGGGAAGTGCACCTTGAAACCCGTTTCTTTATACGGCCATCCAGAAAAACAAAGAAATTAAAAACTCCCTTTTATGATTTTTTTTAGAAATAGGCTTGTGCAGTGTAAATGGGCATATATATCCTATGTTGGATGTAAATAGTGACCTGTCTAATGAGCACTGTGTTGTAGGAGAAGACAGGTATTGATGAAAACTTATTAAAAAAGAGCAGGACAGGGAACTGTGTTAATATTTGGTTAATAATTCTTACATTGCATTGAAGACCCCACTGATTTTTCTAGTTTTATATGTGTTGTCTGATTTAGTTAAAATGTTTCCCATTTTATGAATACAGAGGTTTGCTGGTTATTTGTGTCCAATACATGAGTTATTGATATGACTTCTAAGGACCATCATCCATGCTCTCATCTGTTATGTAAATAACCTTCCATAGGAATTAGGTCACCTCATTCATGGCATGGTGTGGCTTAATTATTTGTCAGGGTGTCTAAACATGACCTTTGGTATGACATCTTCCACAGAAAATATGTGGACCTGTGAAAGTCTCTCTGCTGATGCCACAACCAACTCTGTCATATGTGTTTCTTTCTTTCATTTTTTTCCGTGTTTTGAGACAGAGTTTCTCTGTGTAGCTTTGGAGCCTATCTTGACACTCGCACTGGAGACCAGGCTGGCCTTGAACTCACAGAGATCCGCCTGCCTCTGCCTCCCGAGTGCTGGGATTAAAGGCGTGCGCTACCAATGCCCAGCTCCATCATAATGTGTTTCTATTCTTACCTTCTTCTGATGAAAGCCTTTGAATTTATCTATATTTTTATCTTACATAGCTCTTGCAAAGCTCCCTTAAACTCTTTTTAACAAGGTGGATCAAAATCTAGGACTAAAAGTAATCGAAGGGTCTAGAACCATGCTTAGAACACTTGCTACTCTTGCAGGGGACCGGAGTTTAGTTCCCAGCACCCACACTGGGCAGCCTACCACCACCTGTGATTCCAGGTTCAGGAGATATGATGGCCTTTTCTGTCCTCTTCAGACACCTACACACCTACACACACACACACACACACACACACACACAAGCATCCTGTAGCTGCCAAGGGTGAAGGTAAGTAACAGCAACTGTATTCCTAGACTGCATCTTGAATCATACTTCAGCCTCCCCAGTCACCCTTCAGCTGCGTTTCAAACCTTCCTTTTAATGCTGCTTTTAGTGTGATTTTCCTTTTATTATGACACACATAACTCTTCCCCCATGTATAATATCCTTCCTAGTCTCTTCTCCCAGACATCCATTATCTTTGCTACAATTTAGTAGGTAAGGGATCCTCTACCATGGAGACTGTCTTTGTCTTTGGCCAAAGTCTGCAGACAGCTCAGTGATCCATGTGTATTGTGTGATACACGGTTCATGTCTATGTCTGGCTTTTTAGCACAGAATGAACCTATTTTTACTGTGAAACAAAAGGCAGCATCACGTAACTCACAGGTTGCAGAGGGAGATGTGTCAGGAGCTAAAGTGATTATTTTCCCACATCCACAGATCTACCTGGCACACTTCAGCTTCTGGAAAATTGAGGAAAGAAAACTTTAAAATGAAATCCTATCATTACTCTAGTTTCTGTCTCCTGGAAGGGGAGGGAACAGAGAAATACCCAAGTTTGTAAGCAATTGGAACAAGATGCACTCAAGACTCTCAGCTGCAGAGTTAGTGCTCACTGTTGGGGATCTGCTTCAGTTTTGGACTGAATTGAAATTTCAAGACATCATATATCCCTTGGTCAGTGCAGCAATTGCCTAACTTCTATAGATTGCTGGGACTTTGGTTTCAATCTCTGGGAAGGATGAAGCTGGGATACAAATTATGGAAAGCTTGCAAACAGTAGGAAGTGCTAGTTCAAAGTCAAGCTGGTACTCCAAGGAGACTACTCAACTACTGCCTGAAGAGCCTTTCCTTGTAGGTAATTCCAGGAGTCTGGGAAAGCCATTTCATTTATTTACTTATCCCTATATTAATTAATTAATTAATTAATTAATTAATTAATTTAGTATTTTACTTTTTAGACCTGACCTGACTGTATAGACGTGGGTGTCTTAGATCTTGTCATCTTCTTGACTCACTCTTAGGAGATGTGGGTTGTATTTATTATTGTTATTATTATTATTATTATTATTACAATTGAGGGTATGTTTAATGAGTATAGAGTATGTGTAATGAGTGCATGTAAGTGTATTTGCATGCATGTCACAGATCACATGAAGAGGTCAGAGAAAAGTTCTTGTGAGTCATTCCTCTTCTTCCTTCACCTTCCTCCATGAGTTCTGAGTGGGCCTTGAACTCAGGTTGTCAGACTTGCATGGCAAGTAGTTTTAGCTGCAAAGCTATCTTGCCACCCTGAGAGGTGGGATTAGGAGGAACTGTGACCCCCAACTTTGCTGGTCATTTTCTGCTGCTGGCAGAAGACAGAAGACTAGCAGTGTTCAGTGGAGCTGGGGAGAACAGGTGTAACTGTGTGGGTGTGCACACTGGACATCCATTCTTTGGTGGTGATGTATTTCACTGTATGTATGACTCCCCCTTCCTCCTCTGTGTTTGTCCTTTGATGGACACTTCGGTTATTTCTATTTCCAGGCTATTGGGAATACTACTGTGAACACAGGAATGCAGATGTCCCCTTGACTTTATCACTTATTTTCTTTTGTGTAAGTACCCAAACAGAAGAATTGCTGGGACAAGATAGTTGTTTTATTGATTGATTGATCTGGTATGGCTATATTATTTTCCATATACATTGAACTAATTTAAACCAGTGCCAACAGTGGTCAGGCTCCCTTTTTCTCTACATCCCGGCCAGCACACATTGCTTGTAATCTTTTGATAACATTTGTTCTTATTAGAGTGAGGTGATATTTTATTTTGGTTTTGATTTATACTGCCATGATGATTCTCCCCCGAGTCACCCCTCTGATTCCTCCCTGGGCCCCCCCTACTCCTGCCTCCCACTTTCTTCACTTTTCTTTCCAGTCCACCACCTTATATACTACACAGTTGTGGGGCCATCCAACAGAGGATGGGCCACTTGCCAATGGCCACCCACCCCCAGAGGAAATGACAGCTTCTTCCAGAAAAGCCACCAGCAGCCAACAGCTCCTCAGCTAGGGGTGAGGCCACACAAGCTCCTCCCCGTCTGTGCCAGCATGTTGACTGGCTTGATCCTGTGCAGGTAGCCAAGGCTGTTGTGATTTCATGAATGTAATAGCAGGGTTCTGTCCTGAACACATCTCCTAGCTTCCCCCATTCACCAGATCCGGCTTTTTCCCCCTCCTGAAGACATTCTCTGAGCCTTGACAGGGTTGGTTAGAGTGCTGAGAATAAAGGACTGTGATATCCTCCGTCCTAAATGGTACATCTTGATCCTGGAGCTGGGGGCATGGGGGGCAGTGTCTTATGTCTGTTTTCTGGTTGTCCATTTTCTTTTCAGAAATGTCTATTTAGACATTTCAGACATGTCTATTTAGACATGTTTCCTACTACTCACTCTTTAAATTTACTTGAAATTTAGGTCAGCAAGCAAATTAATGGGTTTCATTACAACATTTCTGTACATTTGTTTATTGTACTTTGTTCCCATTGTGTTGCCTGTTTCCTGGTAGGATTATTTGTCATTTGTTTTCTGTTGGGTTCATGGAGTGCTTTATGGATCCTAGACACCAGCACCTCATCAGACATACAATTCACAAGCACGCCCTCCCATTCATTGCTCGTCTGTGTATTCCAGGGATGGATTCCTTGGTTGGGCAGACATTTTACGGTTTGATGTAATCCCTTCTGTCTATTCTGCTTTTGTATCCAATAAGTTTGAGGATCCTGTAAAACAACAAGCAAAAACATTGTCCAGTCTAACATCTTGTAGCATTTTTTCTGTGTTCTCTTCTAGCAGTTTCATAATTTTGAGTCTCACATTTAAGTCTGCTCTTTAGGAGCTGATTTTTGCAACTGGTGAGACACAAGAAGGCTCCTTCTCGATTGTGTGTATCCAATTCTGCCAAGTAAAGGCACCAAGTTACTTATCTTGTGATTGATTGAAAGTAACAGGGCTTATCGCAAACAAGGACATTTTTTTTTTTCTTTTTCACACTGTAAGTCCAGCCAGTGATAGATTCAGGCATAGATGGAGCCAGGAGATGCCTTCACAGGCACACAGCATCCCATTTTGCTGCTGTATCTTTGTGTTTTGGCATGCTTCCAAGGTGACTGCTGGGGTCCATTAGGGTACTTATTTCCCCCAGGAAGAAGGGGGATAGAAGAGCCTTTTCTCAAGGATAACCTGCAACTTGGTCCCTCTTTGTGATTAGGAGTCCTGTTGTTTCTTTGACTAGAATGTTATCAGCCTAGAATAAGTGCTCAGTAGAAGAGGCTAATCATGACCTATGCCATATCTAGCCTGTGTCTTCATTTTCTGAGTTGTCTGGGGTGGTGGTGGGTACCTGGAAAGATTGGAGTGCCAGTTTCTTCCCTGTTGCCATGGCTAACCACTCTGACCAACGGTAGCTTTCATTCCTCTCAGACTTTCTGGTCACAGTCCATCACTTCAGGAATTCAAGGTCGGAACTTGAAAGGAAGACCTGTGGAGGAGCACTTCTGCTAGCTGTGGAGGAGCACTTCTACTAGCTGGCTCTTTAGGTCTTCCTTGGCTACCTTTCTTATAAAGCCCAAGGTCACTTTCTCAGGAGTGCTGCCACCCACAGTGGGCTGAGCCCTCCCACATCAATGAGCAATTAAGACAATTACCATAGACATGCCCACAGGCCAATATGATCTGGGCAGTTCCTCATGGAAACTTTCCTCAGATGACTCCAGAGGGAGTCAAGTTGACAGTTAAGGCAACTATGGCAAATGGCTGTCAAACAATAATCGAAGAGGGCATAGGATTGATGTGGAGTTGGCAGATAGTGTTCTATATCAGTTGCTGACACGCTCTCCCAATTTAAGCCAAAAGCAAACTCCATTACCAAAAAGTAAATGTATTCTGTGCTTTAAAACCAGCATCGCCACTTTGTTTGTAATAAATATTATGAATCGAAATACATTATCTTGATGTATATTTAAACCTAATTCCCATGAGCCTAGGCTCAGGGTGACAGTGGGACCTCTCACAGGTACCCCGCCACACAAATGCAGTTGAAACTGACCTTAGGGCAGATAAATATTCATACACAAAATGCATATTTATGAAGTTCAGGAAATAGTCACCAGGGAATGAGAAATACTTAAACCAAAGCAAGGAGGGCCATTGTGTGAGCCACTGAGCAAATCTTCATGACATGCACTGAAGGAAGAAAGTTCTGGAACATAATAGAAAACAGAACCTCCGAACTGCCCTGCCTGAGTGAGAGTCCGGGAATACGTGCTGACTCTTACAGTTATACCGGCTTATTCACAGGTTACAACGGCTTGTTAAGTAGCTGGAGCCTCTAGTTCACTGCATGCTGGTAAGTTCTGGCATTCTGGGGTGATTGCACACACGTGGCAAAGTGATTGGCATTTGGAAGTCACAAGCACAAAGTGATGTGAGGGACACACACACACACACACACACACTCATTTGTGAGATAATACAGGTGTACACACACTCATCTGTGAGATGATACAGATGTATATACACACTCATTTGTGAGATAGTACAGGTATATATACACACACACTCATCTGTGGGATAGTACAGGTGTATACACACACACACACACACACACTCATTTGTGAGATAATACAGGTGTACACACACTCATCTGTGAGATGATACAGATGTATACACAAACACACTCATTTGTGAGATAGTACAGGTGTATACACACACTCTCATCTGTGAGAGAGTACAGGTGTATACACACACTCATCTGTGAGATAAACAGGTGTATACACACACTCACACTCATTCGTGAGATAGTACAGGTGTATGCATGTAGGATAGTTTCAGTGTTAATCCTCATTATGGGTATGGAGAAACTGAGGCACACCCAAGTTAAACAGCTCTCTTTAAAGTTGCACAGTTGTAATCCTCACAATGGGAACTCAACCTCTATTAATTACTTTTCCAGTGGCCTGGACAAAATTCCTGACACAAAGCAGCTTGAAGGAAGAAGGTTCATGTAGCTCGCAGAGGGCACAGTTTCTCATGGTGGGGAGGGCAGGAGCACAGAATCCTGTCCATGCCCTCACTTTCCTTTTACTCAGCCTGAGAGTCGGTGCTGCCCCTATTTAGGGTGGGTTTTCTCAACTCAATTAACCAAGTCTAGCAACTTGACACTCAGGAACATCAGTTTCAAATGGTTTTGTGTGTGTGTGTGTGTGTGTGTGTGTGTGTGGTGTATGTGTGTGTGTTGTGTGTACACTCACCCATTTGGAGGTCAGAGGATAACTTGTGGGGACTGGCTCTCTGCTTCTACCATGTAGCTTCTGGGTATTGAACTGGGGTTGTTAGGTTTTGTAGCAAGCCCTTTTATCTGCTAAGCCAGCTCCCTCCCCTCTCCCCCTTATCACTTTAAAGTCACAGCACATTCCTGAACCTTGGGACTTACCTCCTAACCCAGTATACTATTGGAATCAGGATATATGCTATTCTTCCACAGGGAAAGTGCTTCCTAACACTATATTACCTCAGAGGGCTCTGTTGCTACGTTTTATGTGTCACAGTAGGCCTTGGCAGAGGTCACACAGCCCTCTGGGACAGATCACCCTGTCTAGACCCCCTGGGCCTTTGAGGCCACATGTTTACATTGAATTAGAATTTTTATTAATTGCCAACCTTTAGAGGATGATATCCCTTTGAACCAACTGGAACAGGAAATGAATCTCACATGCCTGAGGTTCTGTGTCACCAAGGCCAGAGAATCTCACAAAGGTGAGGGATGTGTGGATGCTGGGTCTCAACACGCTGCTCCTGGCAAAGGAAACATGCAAAGATGTCACCACTCAATCTGGCACAGCCTGGTTATTTCTGCTTTAGTCTGCTTTGTCCTGTGAACAGGCCTGGCGACCAGAGTGTCTGCTTTGTTCTATTCTTGTACATTTTTATATTTGACACTTTAATATTGCCTTTGGTATTATTGTCTAATGTGCTTTATTATCCTAAAGTGTATTAATACCCAAGTTTGACAGCATACTTGTCTTTTGTCCAATATGGAAGAAGAGGGAGCCCTGTTCTGAGTACAGTGGTTGTCATGTTCAGATTCACTTTGGGTACGCTGAGAATCACTGCTGCTAACAGAAGTGGGCATAGAGAGCCTGGGGAATAGAAGTTGTCTTGAAAACAATGGTTAGATCATGTATAAAATACATACTCACATAACACACACACACATGTACATGCATGTAAATCTGTGTGGGTGCATGCTGCAACATGCATGTGGAGGCCCAGAGGTTGCTCTTGGGAGAGTCTGTTTTCTCTGCTCCCTGTGTGGGTCCCAGGGATTGAACTCAGGCCATCAGGCCCGGCAGCAAGCATCCTCACCCACTGAGCCACCTCACCGTTCTTTAATGCCATCTCTACCAACGTTCTCTTTGAACATGGGTGAAGCCCAGTGAAGACACCCCTCCTCACAAAACCTGCACTGTAGAGTGTGATGGAGAGGCCAGAGGCCAGGCCTCATATCCTTCTTAGTGTCCAATCAACTCACCAACTTGTTTTTCTCTTATATTATAGTATACATGCTGGGGCTGGTTTGCTGTGGCTTGTAAGAACTGATTTGGTGGATTTATTTATTTTTTCTACAAACTCCTGTCTGTCCAGATCATGCTGATACTTTGACATACTCTACACTGTGACCCAGGACAAGCTCATTCTGTGCCAGTACAGTGAGCTTCTGAGAGCAGGCAACAAGTTTCAACATATTTACTAACTGAACTCCATAGACATGGCCACCTTATTACTTAAAGACGTATTTAGTAACTGAACTCTGTAGATGAGGCTGTCATGACTACTTAAAGAATGTTTGTTACTTGTTCAGGAAAGGGATAGGAAGAGAGAAAAAGGAAGTGTCTTGGGAAGAAGGGGTTTAGGGAAATTGCTTAGTGGGTGAGTGCTGTGAAACTCCACTAGTCAGTGAGAAGCTGGGAATGGCTGTCCATGCATGGATCCCCAGCGTTGCTGGAGGCAGGCAGAGCCTGCTGGAGGCCAGCCTACCTCCAGGCTCGGCCAGAGAACCTGTCTCAATGGAATAAAGTGGAGCTTGACAAAGGACGGCAATTGGCATCTTTGGTCTCTGCTAGTGTATGTGTACAGGCAGGTGCACTTGCACACATAACACATATATGTATACACACACACACACACACACACACACACACACACACACACACACACACACACACAGTCTTTGTGGGTAGATTCTGCTATGTCAAACATGAGGATACTATATAAGCTACATATAGAAAACTTTGGTGTGTAAATATTCCTCTTAGGTCCCATCCGAGGACAGCAGGGATGACAGCATGGATCTGAGTGTCTGCTGAATGCTAGGAGAGTCACACCCACTCCGCCACACAAGGAGTGGCATGGCCACTGGCATTGGCTGTCTGGGAGGTGGAAGCACCAGCTCAAACAATGCCCTCCTTGGTGTGTCTGAGCACCGTTTGTCTGCAGAGAAGTGTTGATATATTACTATAGCCAATTTGCATAAATGCCTGCTGATTTTCATAGTCTTGTAGAAATGCTATTTATACCCAAATGCCAAGTATATTGAGATGTAATTTACGTGTAGTGTATGCACGGATGTTAGGCATGCAGATTGGTTCATTTTGACAAATGAATACACTCATGTTATCTGTTCTCTAGCAAGACAGAGAACTCATCCATCACCTCAGAGTCTCCTATGTCCTTCCTAGTCAAGCTCTCCCATATCTCTACAAATTAATTGATTTTTAAAAATCACTAGTTTTATTGTCTTAACAATTGAACCCCTTCCATTTAAAACATGTATGCGATAGGGCCTGGAGAGATGGCTCCATGGTTAAGAACAGTGCTTGTTCTTGGAAAGGATGCTGGCTCAGTTCCCTGAACCCACAGAGTTCCAGGATGGACCCCAGTTCCAGGGGATCTGATGCCGCCCTTCTGCCTCCTTGTGTGCCACACACAAATATGAAAAAGTCATATGCATACAGTAAGATCAATACAACTTTAAAGCCTATATGATAAGAACTGTACGATCTGTCCTGTGTGTTTCTTCAGTCTCTCTAGATACCCTTAGGATTTATACTTGTGGCTATGGTTCCTCGTAGCTCATTCCTTGATATCACTGAAGATTTCCTGCAGCACAGATATGTGGTTCAATCACCTGTTCTCCTGTTAGCAGGCAATTAAGCCTTTCAAGGTATAATATATTGCAAATAAATCTTGTGATGAGACTTCTGTACAAAGCTTGCATGTGTCTGTGTGTATAGGTTCTCATTAATGTTGAATAAGCATCTGTGATGGGATCCCTGGGGCAAAGGTGAATGTACGTTTAACTTTGAAAACATGCCCTTACTGTCAGTCATCTGCATAATGAGTGGATTTTGTGTTTTCCACCTCGGCTGCTAAAGTGATCGTGTGCTGGCTCTTTACCACTTCATAGTAAAATGTGTCCACCTTCACATTTAAAGGGCTCTTTCCTCAAATATCTGTTTATTTTATTCCTGTGTGTGTGTGTGTGTGTGTGTGTGTGTGTGTGTGCATGTGTGCTATAGTGTGTGAGTGTGTATGCATGTGTGCTATAGTGTGTGTGCTGTATGAGCGTGTGTATGTGTAGGCATGATGCTAAAGTGTGTGTGCTATGAGGAATGTGAGTGTGAGTTCATATGTGCCATAGTGTGTGTGCTGTGGCTACAGGGGTGCAGTCATCTTTCTCCCTCTGTCACTGGTTGCTGGGGCTTGAACTCAGGTTGTCAGGCAGCAGGCACTTTTGCCCACTGAATGGTCTTGCCACCCAAAACCTTTTTAAAAGAAAATGAAGAAGGTGTATTGTGGCTCTTGTTTTGAAATTTAAAAGTGTGTGTGTGTGTGTGTGTGTGTGTGTGTGTGTGTGTGTGTGTGCCCCACTACATGTATGGCTGGGTGTCAGAGAACCACGTGTGGGAGTTGCTCGGGAATGAACTGGGTTGTCAGGTTTCCAAGCAGTGCTGAGCCACCCTGCCTCCCAGGGTCTTGCTTTCAGACACCGCCCAACAGTGTCTGCTTTGTACTTAGGGGTTCAGTCCACTTCCACCCAGTATAACTCACGATTTTTTAGTCACATGTCACTCCTCTGCATATGTTAAAGCTCCACAGTGCATTTTTACTAATTTACTTTCAATAGGCCAGTTACGTGTGTGTGTGTGTGTGTGTGTGTGTGTGTGTGTGTGAATATGTGTGTGCATGGATGTGCATGCAGAGGACAGAGGGCAGTGCCAAGTGTCTGAAGTTTTGCACACATGCATCTGGATCTGGTGGCTTCCCTTTTCTGCTATGAGACGAGCATTCTTTGCGGCATGATTCTTTCCCCTGTCTTTAGTTTAACTCTTTTTGTTTTGTTTTGTTTTCTATTTTGTGATTGCTTTGATTTTTCCACAGGCTTTGAAAAAACTCAGCTTCTTATTTTTTCATAGCAAAAGAAAATTCATTTTATGGCTTTTTTTGACTCTCAGATAGAAATGGGAATCCATAGCTACTTCCCAGGTCTGTCTCTTGAAGCTCAGAGAGATGCACTTAGAAGGAGATTGGGAGCATTGTCCCAACCTTCATCGGGTGAAAATGTCAAGACTGTCCCACAGGGTAGGAACAGACTGGAACATGGCTTATTTTAACTATGTTCCTTCTCTTGTCCCCACTTCCTGTGCTCTGTGTAGCCAACATAGATCACAGGTCATGTGACCCTCCAGTCACTCTGCCACGCTGGCTGAGTGCCACTGGCCATCACCAGCTGAATCTCAGTGGATGAATCGAGGAGAGGCTGAGGAAAGGGTTTCTGTCAGAAAAGGCTAAGGCTCTCAGGGGCCTGGTCATAGGCAGTGTCTGGGGACATTTTCGTCATATGTTCACAGTGGCCTCTATCAGACACCCATGGCCTCACTGCTGTGGCATTTAGTTGGAACTATTTTAAAAACTGGAATGGCTGAGTTACAGCTTCAGTGAGGTCTGAGAGTAGTGTTAAAATTGCCAAAGTTAGCCATACAGATCATTAAATTTTATATTTTTTACAAGGGCATCATTTTACTGATCATGAATGAAACTTAGTGTTTTCATTGATAATTGACTCAAATGATGTGTTTATACAAAATAGTGTGGCTGTTTGACATGCTAATAGGACCACAAATTTTTGTCTCTAAATCCAGAACCATCTTAGAACAGTAAGTGCCTCAGAATCACACTGCCTGTGTCTCCTCTTTTTGTTGGACAGGCCATGTCTGCGTCTAAGTCAAATGCATGATTTTATCAAACCATTTTGCCATTGGGATTGACATAAATTGGCATCAGTCGAGGTAATTATAGTATGTCACTGGGCACAGCCATTACTCTAGGCTAGTGTCAGTCATCTAGCTCAGCATGCAGCAATCTGACAATATAAGTTACTCTGTTGTATAGAACCAACTCTACACTGGGGTGACCCAGGGTCCTCATAGCCATGGTTCAGGCACCAACACCCGATTGTCTTCTCTATAACCCTGGAAAAGCTGCTCTTCAGGTCACAATGTTAAGAATAGTTCTAGGGGCTGGAGAGACCTGAGAATTCAGTTCCCAGCACCCACACTGGACTACTCACAGCCAGCTGTAACTTCAATTCTAGGGCATCTGTTGTCCTCTTCTGACCTCCTCAGGCACCTGGGTTCATGTGGTGCATGTAAATGCTCCCTCCCTGTACACATAAACACACATGCACATACACACACAACACAAAGACTCACAGGTACACACATGCACATACACACATACATACATACACACACACATATATATATATATATACATACATATATACACACATACATACACAGGTGCCCACACAGACACACAGACACACACACACACACACACACACACACACACACACACACACACACACACACGTTTTTTAAGTCCCTTCTAGACCCTGTCTTCTCCATGACGACTGTTTCCTATGGAAACAGAGGGATGAATTTTATAAGAAACCAGTAGATGGGTCATGAAATATAATAGAACTGTGTTTTAAAGACATTTTATGGAAAGTGAGGAAATCCTTTCATAAAGGAATCCCCAATGCCCAAGTAATTAAACTCATCAGCTGTCAGCAGCAGTCAGGAGGGGAAGCTGTGGTTAGTGGTTCTTTGTGCAGTGTTTTACTAATAAATTTAAGGACCAAGTTGCAGCTATTTATTTCCAGGTGAATAAGTCATTTCCAACTTTCCCTCTACCAGGAGAGAGACAATTCTTGCCAAGTGTCCTCTGACCTGCTCATACAGTGGCACACACGGAATAAAAGAATGCATAAATGCCCTTGTGAGCTTGTCTGGGGGGACATGGAGGAACAGGATTGACGCTGCGGGCCACCTCCTGTCTGTCGAATACCAATCCTGAGACAGAATCATGAGGCCCAGCACTGGTTTACCTTGGATCACCATATGGGAGATTTTCCTATTTAAACAAAGCCCAAAGGACTCATTCTAGTCCATTTGTCTGCCTGAGGGGCAGTAGCAAACTGCTGGAGCAGAGGGAGGAGGCTGAGATGGGGAGGTGTCATTCCCAGGTAAAGAGGGGTGTACTAACGATATATAATACATACATATATCTGTTGTAATAATATTTGAAGAACTGAAATGGAAAAACTTGTAAAGTGTGCCTGTGAGAAGCCCACACTCTCACTCCTGCCCTCCCCTCTCCTTTCTGCCCCTGCCCTCCCCTTTCTTCCCTTCCCTTCCCTTCCCTTCTCTCCTTCCTTCCCAGTGTATGAATTTTATACTCAAAGGCAAAGCACACCTGAGCCTTTAGTATCCCAGGTCCTTTTTTCTCCTGGAAAATAAAAAAAGAAAAATGTGTTCACTGAGTACATATAGAATGCTGTATGACTAGGGCTTTGTATTACTAACATTTTATACAGAAAGGAAGCAGCTGTGGCCTTGCATGCTTTATCATTAATTTACAACCCATAATACTTTTAATTCTGATGTCTATTGAAATTCAGAGTCACAGGACTGAGGAAGTCAAGCCAGGAAGGAGGCTTAGGGCATGTGACTCAATGCCAAGGCAGGTAGAGCAAGGGGAACGGGTGCAGACACTAAGGCAATGGATCGCAAACACCGCTTTATGAT